ATTAATATTAATAATATTATTAATAATAATATAATATACCACTAATGCTACTCATGTTACTTGGAACCACACAAGACCAAGCAGAAAGGCGTTGCCACGAATAAGCACAAAGCCTGAAGCTGTCAGGTCCCACAATATGGTTCGAAATGGTCAAGCTGCTAGATTTGGTCGACAAAAATCTGGGGAACTTCACTCAGTTGACCACTGTACATTGGATGAAATAGGTACGAATGCGAACGCAGAAAGAAGTCGCACTCTTAGGTGCCCAGACTTCGTCTGTTATACAGTTGGTGAGTTGTGTTCACAAGTATTCAAAAGAAAATGTCATTTTCTGATACATACCGAGCCAGGGGGTGGCCATACCCCAGTAGGAGTGTGTTTTGGCAGTCTGAGTGGAGCAAAGCCTGGTACAGCCTTGAATGGTACACTTTCTTTCAGGTACACAAGCGCAATATCTTTGTAGAGCCCCTGAGGATCTGTGAAAAGCGAAAAACGTTTGGTTGTTATTTCATGGTGGTGGACATAAACTGTCAATAATTAGGTACTCCAGGACGATGATCTACTGATCCGGTCACTCTCGCACAAGGCGAGATAACCAAACAAAGGAAAAACGGAATTCCCATTTAGATTCAAAACAGGTTTATGTCATTCAGGCATAATTTATGGAATAAATGTCGCAAAACGAAGCAACTAGAGCTCACAGGACCAAAAACCCTCCCGAAAACGTGTAAAGTAAGAATACTAAGCACACTAAGCATACTATAATGTACATACTATATTTACATAGATCAGTGGCTAGAGCGCAAGTTTACTGACCGAACGGTCCGTGGTTCGAACCAGACCTCTGCCCCTCGACTTCCCCTATCTAGGCTTGGACAAGCTGGCAGTATCTGAGACCCCATGCTTCCTTCTGGCGGTATGACAGTTAGGCATCGAAAGGATGCTACAGCTGAACGATTTATACATAGTATAAACACATATACCATACATAGACTCTCCGCATATGACTGACCAACTCCCGGAATTTCTAGCTCCTAACTGACTGAAAGGTCGTCCTGGCTCTGTCGAATAATGCAACAACCTAGTGCATGGGTCCATTTTATGATCTTATCAGTCAGGACATCTAACTAGGTCTCCATGCCGAACTGCTCAAAGCTCTAACAAGTTGTTTACACAACCTCTGAAGGTTATTGCAAAAGTGACGGTGTAATTCTGGATAGTTCGTTAGGCCTGTTCCTAGCTGAAATTTCCCTACTTAAGATAAAACATCAACTCACATAAACACCGGTCACCATCAAAATTCTATAACCTAGGGCGAGGCTAGACTGACACACAAACCAGTTTATTCCTTTGTAATATATTACTCATAAGGTTGCTGAAAATCCGTCGACAGCCCACCACCGGTTTCGCCGTTCTTGGGGCTCATCAGGTAGGCGCAGCCTCCGGGTTTCCGTTAATCTTATGTTCTACTTGGATGTGGATGTGTTCATATGCACATCATTAAAAAACCTCTACAGGAGTTTCCGTCGCAGGACGGGAGATGGCTCAGTGGTTAGAGGGCGAATTTACTAACCGAAAGTTCCGTGGTTCAAAATCGACCTCTGTCTCTGAACTTCCCCTGTATAGGTTCGGGATATTTGGCAGGATCCCACCCCTCGTTAGACACCAAATGAGTGCCACAGTTGAATGATTTTTAAGATTTTTGTTTTCATCGTCCACATTGGATTAATTTTGAAACAAACCTAACCAAAATGTAGGAGACTGCTGCTCAACTGATAGCCGACCTGTTCACCGAGCTTGGTAACTGGCCTGCATGTAATTTTTCGGGTAACTGGAAGTCAAAATGACATCTACTTTCTAAGACAACTCACACAGAGTGGCAGAACACAGTTCAAACACATTGTTATCAATTAGATTTCTTTCTCTCTCTTTCTCTCCTAATGTTTAACAGCTGAGAAGCTGTAAAGCTGCTCCATCCTCATTTGGAACCATCAACAGAGCACATCTCACAAAACTCCAGTTTGGAGCTTCGAATTCACGACTTTCCAATCGATTGTTATACAGTCAGCCACTAGTGGCTAAACCACGTGATCACGTATTGACTGGTTCCTAGAGTGATGACTCATCATACTGTTTTCAGCCAGCCATACAATGTAACATAAAATACGATCGATCAGTCAGACTGAGGAGCCACAATATGCTTCACAAATAAGGAGATTCAGCAAGTTCATTTGAGGTTATGACAAACAGTTCAAGTCGAAGTCTTCCTGGTTTTGATAAGTTCATTCTAATGAAAACTGATCCTACCTATCCTTAAACTAACCCTTTGGTTTAAGACAGCATGCCGATTATTTTTTCCTACAACACTGTTACGAACCTACCATATTTGGTTATGCGATCAGGAAGGTCCAACCAAATTGTTAGCTTTTGCCTTGGTAATGAAATATGGACTGTTTTACTTTCTGGACCAAAAAGGTTGGGAACATATTCCAGAATTTTTCTGCCTACATTTTGTAACTTGTTGATGAAAATAGACAAGGCATGCAAACGTAACTCACGAAACTCCGGATGCATGAAGATTTCTTTCACCTCATAATATGGTTTCAACGTTTGGCGCTGGTAACCATAATGTCGGTAAAACCAGTTCTTTGCAGTCTCCCAGTATCCTGCCTGTTTTTAAAAAGAGTTGAGCCTGTTTATAACCATAATGACGGTAAAACCAGTTCTTCGCCGTCTCCCAGTATCCTGCCTGTTTTCAAAAAGAGTTGAGCTTGTTTAAAATGCGGTAGGTTGAAAATTTTTGGGCGTCTTACACTACCAGAATGTTTTGTACTGCCACGAAACGGGCACATGTTCAAAGCGTGAACTACAGGTAGGTTTTAGGGACCCGCACCAAGTGAACGATGCGTTGGTTGCCAGTGAACGGGTATCTTATTAGCTTGGTGGACATACGAAAAAGTGGTTTCGAATTTGAACAACTAGTGATGTAAAAGTAACTAAAAAAAGACAAAATGCTTATTTGCATACGTTCTGATATATCTCTGAAAACCGCTGTTCTTTCGGAACCA